TCAAAGGAGTCAGTGCAGAAATTCTTTGAATTAATTACGAATTATCTATAAAAGGGACCTTTTAAATTTGTCCAAGCTGTTACATCGAGGTGTTTATCGCTTTATCTGAAGGCATCACTTTTTCAGGAAATGAACAAGGTTGAACGGTTAGCGTGGCATGCAATGAGTATGACGGAAAGTGACGAAATCAAGGCCGAAGCTTGTTACATTCTTGCGCGGTTTTTCCATTTCAACAGAGACTATGAAAAGGCGTTCAAGGTAAGTTGCATATGCAAGAATTTCAATCCATGTCATCATCGTGTCCTAGTACTATTATCAAGCAACTACGTTGAATCATCCTACTTTCGTTTTGCCCCAGTATGGCCTTGGACCTCGGAATTCGAAGATGTTTGGATGAATATAGCTCATGTATATATCGCACTTGGACAATATGTCCCTGCTTTGCAAATGTGAGTTTACGGCGTTCCTCGCTGTTTTGTTTCATGTTGCACAGAATGCTTTTTTGATCTTTTTGTCATTTTCTTACCATGTTAAAACCATATGCTTATACTGTGGTGTTACAAGGTTCTTTTTGCAACTAGGAAATCAGTTTTTCTTTGAATATTCTTATCTCTAACGGCGCCATCTATTCCTACCGGGCTGGCTGCGCGAGCGGTTCGCGCGCGGCACCCGTATAGCGTGGAGCGCGCATTCCTTCTTATGATTGCAACGTTGGATCAGATACTCTCTCGATCCAGGCGTACTGAGGAGGACTTTCGCTCCAAAACGTATAAGAAGTCAGCTAAAGGCAAGAAGATTATATTATAGAGACATTCATTTGTCTGCCACACCGTTCTCCCAAGATTACCTCTAATACCTCATTTTTCGAGGATTTCTTTGCTTTGTTGCTTAGAGGTTAATTGACTGGATACTTATTTCAACTCACTGATTTTGAGCCGCACTTGTGCTGTGTTTCTTGTTGTTAAGTCTCTTGATAACAAGAAAAACCTTTCCAAAGTCATGGGAGTAAGCTCACTTTCGCTAATAAGGTCCCATTACGACGGTGTACCAAATTTCCATATCACAAGTGAGATTACTTGCGTATGTTCTACCGTAAGGTCTAGTGGATATCTTGTCTTGTTTGTTGGAATTTGGTGCGTAAGGTTTTCGATTTAGTCACCGATGTAGTCATACAGTAGATTTTGATGCTGTCGTTGCTTGCTATACTTTACGGTTTCATAAGTGATACCGACCAGCTAGATAGATTCTTGAAGGATTGTCCATCAAGGAATACTTTGCTTTTTCACGAACGCTTCTGACACGACTTTTACGAATCCATAACGGATATATCTGTTAGAGAGTAGTTAGTGCGAAGAACACACAAACGTAAAGTTCGAAGTCATCCAGGACATTTGTTGCAGTGTCAGTTCATCTAAAGTTTGGCTAAGTTGTATATTTTGTAACAATCAGTGATTCTTATTGGTGAGCATTAGCCGTTTTCTCTTCAGCTGCGAGCAGAACTATATGAATCCAAAAAGGCGATGCTAACAAGCTACTCGAAGGTATCTTAATGGAATTTGACCAAAACCTGATGTCGAAATGTAGGCGACGCTAGCGTTCTTATACACTTTCTGACCTCCTTATCTATTCATGAAGCATTCCTGCATAATGGAATTATGTTGGCTTGATAGTGAACCTATAAGTTTGTAAGACTAGTCTTGAGGCATACTCTTACCATGGATCAGTGACCCACAACTGATGTTGACGCTTACAAGTACCTATGGATCACTGGAAAAGAATCGGATTCGCTATTCCAGGAAGAGGCCAATAAATCGAAATCGTTAAACGCACAACGTTCTCTAACCTTTTCATATGCAGAAAAGCAATAAGTTCCAGAAAACCGAATAGGCTCACTGAGGAGGTGTTGGGTATCTTCGACCACATACTAGTCCAAGAAGTAGCAGTAAATCAGCGCAGCGGCTACTGAAGTGGAAGCCAATTCACCAACATCGCAACGCATACATCCTTCGTTATTCTGCGATATGCGCGAGAATCTTCGTTTGCACATTTGAGCCGATGAAAAGCGCACATGACATTTTCATATCCATCCAATGCGCGCCCCAATGCTACTCACGGGTGCCGCGCGCGAACCGCCCGCGCAGCCAGCCCGGTAGGAATAAATGGCGCCATCTCTAACTCCTAGTATGGTTTTTGTAATATGAATTAACTGTTGTACGTATGCTGGAGATAGATAGATAGATTTTTCGAAAGTTTGAAAAATTTGAAATAAATGTCTTATCTCTTCGTTCTTTCTTCTATCTTCTATCCACAAACGCTAGGGGTGAGAGGGAGGGGGTAGAGTACGGGGTGAGGGTCGCGCTAAACTCCTACCCGGGGGGGGGGGGTCCTATTCGGCTTATTTGGGTGGGGTTTAGAGACAAAATTGGAGTTTGGAGCTTAAAGGCAGCGTCCAGGCAAGTCTGGACCTATGGGTATTTTACATGGAAAGTACTTTTGGGGCCCTAACTAAGCTATTACCCAACCGGCAGCTCAAGTAGTGCTCTAACGCCTGAGATATTCTGCTCGAAACCGGACCCCGCGACCGTGTTTCGCATGGATTCATGGCGCAAAGCGCGGATCCTGGCGCGAAACTGCCATGAATCCATGCGAATACGTTCGCGGGGGGTCTGTTTCGAGGGGAATATCTTTGCCATTAGAGCACTACCTGAACTGCTGCTTCGGCAGTGCCTTAGTTAGGGCCCCAAAAATACTTTCCATGTAAAAGCCCCATAGGTCCAGATCTGCCTGAAAGCTGCCTTTAATTAGGGCTAATTACAGTATGCCGCGATCGGGGGGCTCCGGCGCACAAAATCGGGGGGCTCCGCAGCAGAAAATGGGAGGTATCCGGAGCAGAAAATGGGGGGTATCCGGAGCAGAAAATGGGGGGTATCCGGAGCAGAAGATGGGAGGTCTCCGGAGCAGAAAATGGGGGGTATCCGGAGCAGAAATGGGAGGTCTCCGCCGGAGAAATGGGAGGGCTCCGCCGGACAAATGGGAGACCCACCGCTGGGGATACGCCGCGACCCTGCCATTTCTCCGGCGGAGGGGTCCTATCTGCTGTCTGAGCAGCACGGAAATATGGAGCGTACACATTCTTGCCCACCCTACGAAATGCCAAGTTGTGTAGTAAGTTCTTTAGCTTTTTTTACGGATTTTCGTGACTCTCGGAAGTATTGGACATCGTCTCAGAGTGCGGAGAAAATCGCGCAGATGGTTGCATGACACGATTATTTAATAAGATATAAATTTATTGGATTGTGGTTACAAAATCTCCAATCCAAATCCAAATTTCCAATCCATTAAGTCGATGCGAAGTTCTTCCCGTTTTTGGACCAGCCCGCAAATCACGTAGAATAAAGATAACAAATAGTTTGAAAGTGCTCGAGGCAGAATTTCTTCCTCTTCCTAGCAGCTACGTTTCGATGCAAACTCCTTCCACGAGCGCTAAGATAACCTCTGAAGCTTACGACCCTTCATTTTCAAGATGTCTAACTTTTGCAAATTTCCAGAATTATAATATAATCAAGACTTTTGATGGTGCTTTAAGTTATGTATCAAAATCTACATGTTTCGAAACAGAAATCGCTCATTATCTTGTTAGGTTTATGATACAATAACTGAGTTTTGGATGGGTGCAATTACGTGCCAGGCGATTTTTTCAAAACCCAAGAATTTTATACATTTAATCAGCAAAATTCTAAAAATGATGCTGTAGTAGGAAAACAAAAAATTGCAATTATCACTTTCAGAGATTCCAAACAAAAATTCTGAAAATTGAAGGAGAAATTCAGAGATGATAAAACTGAAGGGTCGCAAGTTTTGGCGGCTATCTAAGCGCTCGTCGGAACAATCGCATCGAAAACATACTCAGACAGCGGATAGGACCCCTCCGCCGGAGAAATGGCAGGGTCGCGGCGTATCCCCAGCGGTGGGTCTCCCATTTGTCCGGCGGAGCCCTCCTATTTCTCCGGCGGAGACCTCCCATTTCTGCTCCGGATACCCCCCATTTTCTGCTCCGGAGACCTCCCATCTTCTGCTCCGGATACCCCCCATTTTCTGCTCCGGATACCCCCCATTTTCTGCTCCGGATACCTCCCATTTTCTGCTCCGGAGCCCCCCGATATTGTGCGCCGGAGCCCCCCGATCGCGGCATACTGTAATTAGCCCTAATTAAAGGCAGCTTTCAGGCAGATCTGGACCTATGGGGCTTTTACATGGAAAGTATTTTTGGGGCCCTAACTAAGGCACTGCCGAAGCAGCAGTTCAGGTAGTGCTCTAATGGCGAAGATATTCCCCTCGAAACAGACCCCCCGCGAACGTATTCGCATGGATTCATGGCAGTTTCGCGCCAGGATCCGCGCTTTGCGCCATGAATCCATGCGAAACACGGTCGCGGGGTCCGGTTTCGAGCAGAATATCTCAGGCGTTAGAGCACTACTTGAGCTGCCGGTTGGGTAATGGCTTAGTTAGGGCCCCAAAAGTACTTTCCATGTAAAATACCCATAGGTCCAGACTTGCCTGGACGCTGCCTTTAAGCTCCAAACTCCAATTTTGTCTCTAAACCCCACCCAAATAAGCCGAATAGGACCCCCCCCCCCCTCGGGTAGGAGTTTAGCGCGACCCTCACCCCGTACTCTACCCCCTCCCTCTCACCCCTAGCGTTTGTGGATAGAAGATAGAAGAAAGAACGAAGAGATAAGACATTTATTTCAAATTTTTCAAACTTTCGAAAAATCTATCTATCTATCTCCAGCATACGTACAACAGTTAATTCATATTACAAAAACCATACTAGGAATTAGAGATAAGAATATTCAAAGAAAAGCTAATTTTCTAGTTGCAAAAAGAACCTTGTAACACCACAGTACAAACATATGGTTTTAACATGGTAAGAAAATGACAAAAAGATCAAAAAAGCATTCTGTACAACATGAAACAAAACAGCGAGGAGCGCCATAAACTCACGTTTGCAAAGCAGGGACATATTGTCCAAGTTCGATATATACATGAGCTATATTCATCCAAACATCTTCGAATTCCGAGGTAGCTTCACGAACTTGAGCGAAGATGTCACGGGCATCTTGCCACATTCTTTCGATGCTAATACGCAGCCTAAACCAAAACATACGGTTTTTGATCGAAAAAGAAGTAGCAAATTAGTCATTTGTTCCGATACGAAACGTACCTATTCCATTTGCTGCCCAGATGTTTTTTGGCTCAATTTTCAACGTCTCATGGACCCCAAATCATTTTCAAAATCTCATGGACCCCATTTTGGGTGATCGGTGCCTTTGACCACAAATCACATCAGAATGCTAACTCACTTCACATGAACAATGGGTAGTTTCCACCGAACTACTCGTGCTTTTTCGTCATAATCCTCCAGCCATGCTCGTTTGATCTTCTTCACGTCGACATCGCAAAACGATACAACGCGTTGTTTATCACTTTCGGAAAGGGACCTCGAAACTGACTCACCTTTGGGAATGTAAGAGCGCAGATTCCACCTCACTTGAAAAATCGCTTTCCTTGTTTGCCAGCATTCCAAATTGTGAATGTTTTCCAGAAAGGAAGCACATGACTGCAGAAGCGACTAACACGCATGTTCCATATAGCAGCTTCGGAAACACCAAAAGAAGCACATCCGGAGTGAACGATAGTTCACTAGGGGTTTACATACCTGAAGAGACGAAAGCAATATATATGCATTACGGATTTGCAAATAACGTACTTTAGAGAATGCAACATCATCGATGTCTAATGCACGGTAGAAAAAATCGAGATCTTCGGGAAACCCAAAGCGCACGTCGTCTTTGAAACCGCCTACCGCAGAAAAGAGTTTTCTTGAGATGAACCATGTAGGAGCTATAAAAGTGGGCCCATGCGACGTATACACCTAAAGTAGAAGCACATTCAGCACCGATGGGCAACAACAAGATTGTACGATCCGAGATTATACCTGCAATTTCAATTCTTCGTTTGTCAAATCATGGGTCCATTTAGTATAGCGTTCAGTGGATCCTTCCGGTATTCTGGTGAAGTTACTACCTACGCAATGGGCAAAGTGATACAGCTGTACAACATCTAACAAGAAAAAATAAATCAAGGTTGTAATGGGATAAACGGGTTTTATGCGAAATCTCAAGAATTTGCCGAGGTCACATATGAGATTGTGCTTATTAGAAGACCCTTATTCAAGACGAAGAAAGTTGAATTTGGACAAGCTCACCAATAAAAACCAAATCGCTCCTCTGAGAAATCGCCAAGTTGTACTGTTCCTGTAATCTGCTTGGCTCCGAAACATCATCCGCATCACAGAAAGAGATAAACCGTCCAGAAGACATTTTTACCGCTTGGTTCTTCGCAAAGCCGACACCTACCAAGATGAAAAGACTTGATGCGAAAGCCGTTTCGTCTATTATTACTATAAAAACGACAAAACTTGAGGTACCTCCACTTTCCGTGCCACTACGTATTCGAAAACCAACATTCCGTTCGTGAAACCTTGATATAAGTGATTCGGCATACGTTACAGTCGAGTCAGTGCTTCCATCGGCAGGCCCCATTTAAAACTACACAGCCGGCTGCGCGAGCGGTCGCGTCGCGTATCCACTCTGTGTGCTTGGGTCACGCTTGTTCAGATCGCGCCCAGGAAGGAATATTTCACAGTCATTCAGAATAGAAGTCATTCAGAAACGATTTTTACTCCGAGTTTGATTTCCCAACTGCACCTGCACTGCTTTTTAGAATCACCTTTCAGCCTCTCGATTACTCAACCCGTGCAGGATTTTCGGTTTGTGGGTTAGGATGTGACGCTTCAATTCAGCTCAATCGGCAGGTGCACATAAGGCAAACCAAGTACGGAGAAGTGCCGAATCGGATGCGAAGTCTGGGTGAATGCGATGTCCAAGGGAATCAAGCCATTGGAAACTTTGACGTCTCAATAATTTTTCTACACTTCCGTATAAGCAAATGTTCACTGAAAGTTTTCAGTTGCATTCACCTGGCCAACGGATCTGTTATATCTGAATTTGTCCTTCTTTGATTGAAGGATACTCGACTATGCTTTGCACATTTAACTAACGAATTAGTGTATGTGCTTCATCTCCTCTTGAATCACTGCACTTGGAGTTCGAAAGACACAGTCATCAGCTGTCAGGCAACGTGTGACCGTATTTCTGTATTTGATTCACAGAAAAGATGATCACATATTCTAAGACTAAAAGACTCGGGCACGCTTTGCACATACTGTCTAAACAAGTTTGATTGTGTGATTAGCAACTTTACACTTGTGATCTATCTATTTGCTACTCTGAAGTAGGGAGGAACGAGTACCTACAAAAGCTTGTTGAGACAATATGTGCAGTGCTGTGAAGCGCGAATAAACCTCGGAAACCTCAAAACCTAAAACCCCAATTTACACCTCGGAACCGCGGGCGTTATAGTGCGTATTCGAGTCTCCTAGTTTCAGAACAGATTATGCTTATCTTTAAAACAAAACATGATACCAGCTTCAAGAATGTGCACGTCGTATCAAACTCAGCCTCAGAGCACGATGATCCCATCAAAAATAGCGTTCCAGCAAAACAAGCAACGCTAATATGAATAGTGCTCTGAGACCAGAAGGAGCTTACTTGAGCAAAAATCAGCAGCAAAGGAGGAGCAAAAAACAATAACAAAAACCAAATATTCTTTTCCTTCTTTGCCTTTTGAGGTGTAAAAGATCATTAGCGATAACGTAAATCCAAAAGCAAACCTTAGGGCATGCCAAACATCCATTCTTGCTTTTTCAAACACGTTTTTCACTGGCACAGCTTAGCCTTAGTTGGGCAAATAACTTGTCAAAAGAAAGCAAGAACAGAAGAGCACACAGATGCGCCATGGGGTTGGTCACAATCACTATTCGAACTTTCTTGCAGAAATGTATGAACCATTCTCAATCTTCAAGCCGATGATAGTGTCAGATAGGAGGACGCAGAACTCTTCTCGCCAATAGAGTGGATTTATGGAAGTATGCATGAAGTGGTTATGTGACATAAATGTCATTCTATCCTGCTATCTGACTCGAAAATGATGAGTCCCAGCAAGCGTGACCCAAGCACACAGAGTGGATGCGCGATGCGACCGCCCGCGCAGCCGATTGTGTAACAACACTAGATAGTTGCGCAACTAACCTCATTGTTTCGAAAATCCAGAATTAATCACAAAAACCACTCCATCAATAGTCTACGATGTCTCAGCAAGTCGGAAAGAGCCAAACACTGAAGGTGATTGAGTGCAACCGCACGAAAATTTTAAACATAAACCTGAAAACGAGGAACTTACAGCAACATAAACGCCAACGCGACGAAGAGCAACGCGGAAAAGGAAAAAACGGTAAAGAAACGCGCAAAAACAACAGAATCAAAGAAAACGGCGACTAAAATATGGACAAAGAGCGTAAACAGAGGACTCATCACCGTGGAGTTAGACGTTTGCTTGCTACGCGCCAAATCGATACGCAGCCTGCTCCGGATACCTCCCATTTCTCCGGCGGATACCTCCCATTTTCTGCTCCGGACACCTCCCATTTTCTGCTCCGGATACCTCCCATTTTCTGCTCCGGAGGCCTCCCATTTCTGCTCCGGACCCCTCCCATTTTCTCCGGCGCGGCTCTTCCAAATTTGGCGGACACGCGCCGCGCAGATTTCTGCGGCGCGGAGTCCGTCAAATCTGGCAGAGTCGCGCCGGAGAAATGGCGGACCTTTGCAGCAGGGCCGGAGAAGCCTCCCATTTGCCTGCCAGTGATGCCACCGCGATGGACCGCCCATTTGCCCTTCTCTCATTGGTCAACTGGGTCCGGCGCGACTCTGGCAGTTTCCGAGGGTCCGGCGGAGGGGTCCCGTCGATTGTCTGAGTAGCTGCTGGAAAGACGAAAGAATCTCGCAGCGGGTTATATTCAAGGCTGTGTTTATTACTTTATGAGAGTGGTTTGATCCAAAAACGAAAGAACTTTTGCAACCTAATATATTAAGTAATTGTATATGGCGCGCAACGCTGAATACAGAGAGACGGCCCTTCTGAACCGCTAACATTAGCAGCCTAATTACTGTGCGCCTCTGATTGGTCGGTACTGCCGCCGTTTGGGCGAGCGAGAGCTATGCTGTCGTTAGGGACGTCTGAATTGGACTGCAAAGGCATTCTCATGATAAAAGAATCAAAAATGATTTTTCCCATGAAACTCTTCCCATGAAAAAAAAATGTTTTATTTGGGCGGCTTAGGTAAATTCTTCAGCTTACACGTGCAGACTTCATGGTGTTTTGAAAACTAAGAAGGGCGAAGAAATCACGAAATGGCCTTAGAAACATGCAACCTTTCCAACTTTTTGTCTTCATAATTCAAACATCCTCACTATCATTGTCGTGTGCCTCACCTGCTTTGGAATGCTCAGAAGTATTTGAAAACTCTGCTATATTATAAGAAGGGCGACATAATTAGCGTTGCCCGGGCAGACTAATTGGCGCTAGGACGGAGCGGTTCAGAAGGGCACACACCCCTGAATACGATTTCCCTCCCCCTGTTTGACTTTTGTCTCAATACCCTCCCCCCGCATGGTCGTTTGCCTACCGCAGACATGACATAAAGGCTTTACAAGCATAATTAGTAACATACATTTAACATGTTAGTATACCTTGTAGGCAAGTGTGAGCGAATGCCGAGGGTTTCCAACATTGGGTCATCCAATGTGGCCATTTTCAAACATAAATAACTATAATTAAAAAGTGGTTTAGCTTCCCATTTTTAACTCAATACAAAGCAATAATCCTGTTTGCCCATGATATGAATCCTGGCTATAAACCACAAATGTTAAAATTAGGAAACAGCCAAAATCTCATTTGCCACATTTTTTGCTTAAAGTGCTGTGCTCACTCAAGCGAGACGAGATCTTCGCTATCGAACTCTTTGCATTTTGTTCGCTAGATTCTTTTTGAAGGTAGTTAATGGGACGTAGCACAACTCCAATCGCATTTCTGAAATTGTGGCATACACTGAGCATTGCCCCATTGCTTTAACAGCGAGTGTCTAACGATACACCGAATCCAGCTACTAGAGCGGCTCACCTAGCTCATTGAAGCGCTCATTTGATTTTTACCATTTCAGAGCGAGTAAAAGACCATATAAATCAAGACATTTTCCTCATGTGAGCAAATTTTTGAGTCATAGTGCTCTCAACTACTGACCTACTGACCCAAAATCATCGATTTGATAGTATTTTGCGAACAAAACCAATAACGAGCAAGTGATTGAATTTTTTGAACAATTTATAGATGTATGAATTTATAACAAGTTAAATGTGGAAATGACTTTCCAACGTTTTGAGGTGCGAGATTAAGAGCCGTTATCCTTCTGATCAATTTTACGGGGGAAACTGTGAACCACATTATATCGTAGATTATGAGGCTATTTACTTTGGTCAATGCTGAAGACTATTTTATTAGACATTTCTGATTGATAATGCAATTTTCCTTTACTTTGGAAGATTTCACATGCCGTACGAGGCTTTCATGGAGTCACCGGATTTCATCATGCTTCTGTTTTCTATAGAGCTTTTATTCGGAGTACCTTCACAATGCGACTGTTTCGTATTCATTCTCTTTTCTTGCGACCAAAATACGCTAGTCAGTTTGATCAACCAAGGCTACGAAATTTCTTGTGAATCTCTAGAACACGAGATATTTTAACAGTAATTATTTCAACAGAGTTTTTTGATCCCTGCTTCGTTCTAATGAGTATACTCATCCAAGATTTGGGACATAGCTTTTTTGTGCAACATATGTATTGATCAGAAAACAGCTAATGGCCTAATAGATTAATGGATCACATACTCCTCCATAAAGTTTCGATGTTTAAAAACAACTTTTCTTCGAAACTCTTTTTCCATCGATTATTTCCCCTTTTATTGCCAATAATATTAGGTTGCTCCGAAAGTTCTGTCCCACCATTTTCAAAATCATAACTTCCTTCTAACATGATGTGCAATTCATCGCTTTTTAGAAACATCTTGGCTGCTATCTAATAAGCTCTGAATGCAGAGATAATGTTGGGAAAAGAAATCACTTCAAGTTCGGAATTTTTAAGCAAGCCCGTTAAAAAATCTAAAACTGTGCCATAAAATCCAAAACAGCCATTATCCTAAACTTTTGAACCCCTCTTTCTAGCTGAGCAAAATTCGCGCTGATGGAGCTCTTTCTAGAAATGTTATAATTTTCAAGAAAAAATGCCAAAAAAATAGTTTAAGAAAAATTGATTTTTTAACATGTTCTTCAAAAATCATAACTTTCAAAATAACAGCTCGATCAGCGCAAATTTTGCTCAGCTAGTAAGAGGGGATTCAAGATGTGTAGGATAATGGCTGTTTTGGATTTTATGGCACAGTTTTGATTTTTTAACGGGCTTGCTTAAAAGTTACGAACTTGAAATGATTTCGTTTTCCCAATCTTATCTTTGCATTCAGAGCTTATTGTTAGTAGATATCAGCCAAGATGTTTCTAGAAAGCGCATGAATTGCTCTTTTCAATAAATTTTTAGCCATGCAAAAACATCATGCTAGGAGGAAGTTATGATTTTTTGAAAATGGTGGGACAGAACTTTCGGACCAACATAATATATTTGGAGCAGTTTTTGGAACATAGGAATACTCCGTACAACTTATCAGAAAGAGGCATCTCCGAAAATGCGCTTTGCTTTATTCAAATCAAAAATTGGTTTATCGAATTTTACAAAATCTACATCTTAATTCCGATGACATTATCTTTTCCATCAGAGCATCACAAATTCTTTTTGCAAACCCAAGTGAAGTTTCAGCCTTTTTCAGAACTTTAATATACAAGTGCCTTTGATTTTAGAACTTCAAAAAACCATGAAATTAACGATGTACCCACTTCCATTTGTAAATTTTTTCTTTGTCGCGAGCGATTTGATGGGCTAGAGTGAGGTTTTCTAGCAGCAAAGGTGTGGTCAAACCATTTGAAACGTAAAAACTTTTGAAAAGTTGTCTTGTAAACAGCATGTCCGAAACCATTGCTACAAACTTCTATATTTGCAAACGGCCTATATCACATGACGCTGTATGCTGAAGGTTCGTACCGCGATCCTAGTAATAAAGAGCGATGGTCCACATTGTTCATCCAGTATAAAGCCTGTTTGGATGGCACTTGAAACTAAGCAAAAGACTTCGTGGAAAAAGAGTTAATAACAAAGTATGTACTTACTTTGGGGTACCCTAGATAGTATACACGTTATATAATACATAACTCTATCCGCTTCAACTTTCATTCACTATTCATCATATGGTTAGTATTGGTGCACACCTCAATGTTTTACCGAATAAACTTCTGCGGCCACGCTTTTTCTTCTTTTCTAGGCCAGGGCTCGGCACGAGGTGGCTTACAAGCAAGCTGGATATCGTTTTTGGGACAAAAAGCAAAGGGGGTTTCGTTTTTGTGACCGAAGACACACTTAAAATTGGCGATTTGGCGACGTTTTTTTTAGTCGACGTTTCGTTTTTTGGAGGATTTTTAGGGCATATGGTGGGGGTCAAAGGGGACTTCGTAAAAATACCCAAAAGTCAAGGGGGACTTCGTTTTTTGCATTTTCATCTAGCCACCGAGCCCTGTCCTAGGCGAAAAGCTATTGTACACATATAAATATCTCGTAAGTACCTGCACTACTAAAAAAACTTTTGCTTCCATGACCTTTAGCAAACTTAGTTATTTGGCATCACTAAGGATGGATACATAATAGTTGTTACAGATTATACTAAGCTTTCGATTATTTCCTTATTTTTCTGAGCTGGAGATCAAGTTCAGTGCAATACACGAATCCACTTTAATCACACTTGCACGCCGCCGTTAGTTGTGAACCAGTGATCCATCTCTAAAAGACAAGAACTTTGTTTGATCAATGATTTTCACTATCATTACCTGATTTTGACAGACCAGGCAGACTCTGTAGAGAATCATTAACTTGGCATTTTTAAAGTATGTATTGACCGATATTTCTAACAGAATTTTTGCCCACCATGGCCCTACTTTTTTCGGAGTTCCAATCTTGTACAGTATTTACATCGGTACAAATGGTAGATTTAAATACTGAAGCCTAATTAGAAGCAGGAACTTATCTGGAAATTGTAAAAAGAAGACAAGAAGCTGTACGAGCATGCACTATACGGGATATCTCATAGAAGGGCTTTACGGTTATGATGACAAAATGTCATATGCATGCGTCGTTTATAGCAGAAAAAATTGTCACAGCTTTTTTCGCTGCGGCTTTCTTGAATGCAAGCTTCAAAACCCTAACTTTCACGTTCCGCCTATCATGCAAAAGTTGTAAACTGTTCAAGACCGTTTTCGCCTGGTAAGGCGAGCCATTGAGCTAACAAAGGAAGAAGTCAAAGTCGAAATCGGCTTTCTACATAAAATATATACCAGTGTAAAGAACACCAAACACTGATTCCAAAACTGTCTTTGTTATCTGCCAAACTCCTCTAGACGCTGAGTTATGCGCGTTTTTTGGTTAAAAAATCAAACGCGCCACTGCAACAAATTCATTCAAGATTGCGCAAGTAACCCAACGTTGGCTAATAGAGCGCTCAAGCCCGAGAAGACTCATGTATATACCCGTACCCAGCACTTCTCTGTATGAGCTCTGGTAAAACAACTACTGATTTTACCTAGATTACGCTATCATTTTTCACTACATAAAACACACAACTTGGCAAGAAACAACTATAGTTTTGAAATCAACGTTTGATGCTCTTCAGATTGGTACACATTTTATTTGGAAAGCCGAGTTCGACTGTGGGTCTTCCCCTATCAAGACATAATCTTTTTACTCTTCTCGTATGTAGATGACAATTGAATCCGAACTAGTACGTAAATTACGTAAATCAATTCTGATACATATAAATGATGGTAGGTAATTTGTTGTTGAGATTGTCTTCAAGCAGCAATTCATCATCCCACACTGTTCTACATAGAATAACAGAAGCATTTTATCGATATGCATCTATTAAACATTATAAAATACACTGAAACAGGATGTTGTGCGTTTCGATGGCAATCCTAATTACCACCAGCCTCCCCTTCCAAATCCACCGTAGCCACCATAGCCACCGTAACCACCGTAGCCACCGTAACCTCCATAGCCTCCATATCCTCTACCCCACCTTCCTCCAAATCCGCCGTAGCCTCCCATCCCATACGTTCTTTTTTCTCGAATGATGGGAGCGCTATAAAGAGCATTTTTGGAAGAAATTGTATGCATATGGATTGGATTGGAGAAACTAACTCGGCTGGGATGTCGTCAGGGCTGAAGTCCACCGCTTCTTCAGCTAAACATACGACGACAAAAGCAAGTAAAAGACAGAATGTGACTGAGCGCATCCTGAAAGAAAGATGAACAAATATGCGCAATATTGGATTGTAGCACATGATCGAGAGCAGAACGCCTCACAATATTAGTTTCATAATCTTGCATCATCAAGAGCTCAGATTATCAGCGCATGTATGATGTACAAAAATGGCCGACAAAGACAGTAAACACTGTCAAATAATGTGTTTTTACAGTCTAATATGTGAGTCAGAGCTTGAATGTAGTTTTGTAGTTACTTTGCTGTTGGCGTCATCGCAAACCCTTTTATACCGTCTTCGACTTGAGCAAATGATGAATTCAAAGCGTTTTTGTCTGAGCACACCTCTCTCTAACCAGTATGCATTGGCTCATTGTTCGCCGCGTTCGTTCAATAATTACCGTAGTTCTGGTGTGATGGCAATTATCTGTGAAAAAAAACTCTAATCTTCTATGAGATGTTTGGCGAACTTAAGTCACTTATGGATACTGTTCAAACAGTACATCTAGAAACTAACAAAAAACAATGACTTAATTCGTTCAACAGCAAACAGCACATTACAGGCAGCTGTTTGTCCAATAGTTACCGTAGTTTTGATGTGATGTGTAATTTTTATGACGTGCTATTCCACCATAGTATGATTCGTTTCCTCAAGCGTGGACGTGAGGCTCTATTTAGAGCAACCTCCATATTTTGTCATGTTTATGTTTTGCATCATAAGATTTGTCCCGGATGCTCCAACATTGCAAAGGCTACAGGGCAAAGGCTCAGAAACAGTTTTAGTCGACTAAGTGCGCGACATGCGTCTTCACGTTGTATATCCTGCGCCTTATGCGCTCCGCGGCTAATAAAGCCGCGCACGCTCGCAAAAATACTGCGACTTCGTCATGCACAGCTTATACACAGTAATTGAAAATAGGTTCCTGTTGGTGTCTTCCCGAATCCCTGGCTCGTACTGTCAGTAGTCATAAACTACAGGCGTAGAAAAATGGATCTCTAAGAATTGGAATTACTGCTAACTGTAGGCTGAATAAAGTGCGAGTGGTATGCTGTTTTTTCGTGTTTTATGAAGCAAAGGACTTATCCGTTCCCCGACCTTGATCTGTTGATTTTATTTGAGTAGTCATCTACTCAGTGCACTCGCACGCTATATCTTTGAACATCCTCAACATACCTCGAATACATAGAACTATTTATTTGATCTCACCACTAACGTATGATTTTGAAAAAATTTCAGCATACTGTCATTGTGAGTTGCCCTTCTTTTCAAAAAAAAAAGTCATTTGGATTCCACTTAGATTACTAATTGAGTTTCTATGAGCTAAAGCTTTTCGAATGTTCTATATACATTTATAATGAAAGTTCAGACGGATGTTACGGTATACGCTTTCCCAAAACAATTACTTTGAATCGCAGTCTCAATTTATGCTGCTTTAGTTGTCCTGTTTGTCATTCTCAATTCTGGAAGATGCCTGTAGAGACCATGTTTATGGATTTGTAAACTTTTTAGGGTGGCACAAATCTTGTCTATGGCTTTGACATGACTTTCAAATGCTAATTTCGTTGCATACTATAGGTGACCATGCCAACACAAGTCGTTCTCCTTCTAGTTGCTTCATGCTATTGCTTCATGCTAACTGAAATCTTGTAATGTATGAAATTTACTAGATCCTTAAACTGAGCACAATTTAATACTGTATGCGCAACAGATTCCCGTTTCTTGAGCCTCTAGCCCTTTTCCGCAAGCACCCTTCAAATTTTAGAATTTACCAGGCCGACAATGTCCAACATCTAAGAGTGTGATATCAGATTTCACTTTTGCTACATGTAAACTTTGTCCGTTTTATGCACTGTTGAATGCCAAATGTAGCATTTTCGAAAGGTCTTTGCTTGCAAACACCGTCTCTGCGGTACAACCTGATATTTCTCCCTCTCAAATTAAGATCCTTCCGTTAGAGAAGATCAGGCAATCCACTTTTTCATACACTTTTAATTGTTTCTAGCCCAAAAGCTCCTGAGAAATTCACTTCTCTTTTTTCTCTCACTCCTTTGACTTCACGAAACATTTGTCCAAGCATTAGTACGAGAGACGACCTGGTCGCGCTCCTCCTCGATTGTGCACCATGGTACCTTTCACGAAACGTTTTTCAGTCTTTTTCTCTCTTTTTACGTGTAGACGTGTCGCTACGGTCAGCTCTGTGGGCGCAATCCTTGACATGTTAAACATACTCTGAAGACTCGTTTCTTCAAAAAAGTGCTGATTTTAGTTACTGCCCAATCATTTTTTAGGTTTAAGTCAGTATTTCCCATTCTTCTTTGGGGACTTTTCTTACAGACGCAATGCGTTGTCGTACACCCGTACTTTATACAGCATGGAAATAATCTTTTCCTTCTTCCGCCCTTGGGGGCAAGTGTTTATCAAGAAGGCCTTGGTGGATCTAAGTAACGCTGCCTTGTACTCAGATCCACTACGGCCTCCTTTGATAGACACTTGCCCCCGAGGGCAGAATCAAATTTGATGAAAATATTTTTTCATGCTGTTTAAAGTACGGGCTTTCTCCTGGAACGTTCTGCGGAGCCATGTTGTACGATATCGAACAAATGGCAAACTTGTATTTTATTTTGAGAATGCCTTTACTTTCCGTGGCATAGTAAAAATGGTACTGTTTTTGCTTTTGATGGCACCTTTTATTCTAGAATCGCATCCCTCGATAGACAGTTGTTCTATTTCTGTTATCCTTACGATCTCAGTCATAACCTTGTTGTCAAGTTTAGCTTTTCTTTCGGATAAAATTGCTGTCTTCAAAGATCATCTTCATAACTGTTTGGGCTTTCGAAGTGGATGCACCACTGCTACGTACTGAGAGAAGTGGTTATCATTTATTGTGGCTGCGTACTTAATGCCAGTTGTGGTCTAACCCAACTGCAATACGCATCTACTCCGATAACCACTTATGGTGGTTATCGGAGCAGATGGAAAAGTAGTTACGGTTAGAAGTAGCTACTGGGTCTTATGATCCAGTAGCTAGTTTTAACAATGGTATCAATTAGAGCAGGCATTTCACACGTTTTTGACATCCTCTTGTCCATTTGTAAATATCTCATGCCATCCTTGGCCAGAAAATTCTTTTTTTGAGTTGAGTGAAAATTCTATATGCGCCGATAGCCTGCTAGGATTCGTTTCTCTTCCAAAAAACTTTTCTTTGGCTCTTCAGAACTACATGTGCCTTTGCTCCCTTTATAAACATGAAGATTCATCTTCCATAGCAAAGTCTGCTATGCGTATGGGCAGGTCATGCTCTTGCTTGAAATCTTCACATGCTCTTTCAACTTTTCATCCATAAGCATGTCAGTTTCGGACTTTTACCTCCTTTTTTTCGTCCAAGCTACTGATACCGTACTTACCAAAGCTTCTCTGTGTCTTACTCCCGAACCTCCTCTTTCCACCTCCACCAAAGCTCAGAGCTTCCCTACCACATTTGCTTTTCCTTTGGACAGTGGTGGTCCCAGAATTTCCGTCCGGGGGGGGGGGGTAAAAAATTTTTTTCAAAAGAAGTGCGTGGCGTTAGCCACGCATTCAAAAATTTCTTAGGGGTGCTCTTCAAAATTTTTGCGGTTCCCCAACCCCGATAATCTGTCTTATAAGGCTAGTTTAAACTCTTAAGAAATTTAAAAAATTATTTTAGTTGATTACAAAAATAAACAAGTCACTCACACATTTTCATAACCTACCTAAGTAAATTCCAAAAGTTTGGCGACCCATTTTCGGGGGAGGGAGTAGGGGTCCTCGGTCCGCCACTCCTTTGGCACACTGTATTCTTAGTCCTATCTTTGCAGCTATGATGATTATTTGAGAATCGAGCTGGCACACTCGACCGCTTAAAGGGCGCCTAGCGGTTGGTTGGTATACATTTTTATAGGCAGCCCGTCTATGATTATGTAAAACTTCCGTAGTGCAGTAACTTTGTCACCAATAACCGCTAGTAACTGGTTAAAGATCCGTCACATGGTACAATACCGCTCACATTTTTTGAAAAATAGACGCGAATGTATGGACATGTATGGACATGTACGGACATGTCCATACATGTACGGACATGTCCATACATGTACGGACATGTCCGTACATGTCCGTACATGTCCATACATCAGCGTCGCGTGGCCATATCTCGCTTCAGAGTGAACGAATTCTGAATCCAAAGCCACCATTCGATTCAGCTCGGCGCGGAGAATCTTCTGATATATTGGAAGTGGGGGTACGGTGTCTTCGATATTGCATTTGCAGTTTTTTTCAATTTGTTCTGCGGAGGTCCTTTCGCGAATATGTGAAGCAAAGCCTACCCAACATAGAAGACTTCATTGAGTACTATTCGATAATACTGTTGTTGTAGATTATTGTGCGCTAGAAAATAGGCTCAGACTTCTTTCCAAAGGATATATAAGCGTTGGTGAATCTTGAAAAATCACGCGTTTTTAAATTCTACTCGCCATAACTTCCTTCGAAATGTGTATATTTTGAATCCGAGAGCAGCGCCTTGCTCAGCTCATCAAGGCGAATCTTCCTATATTTAGCTTGTCCTTGATATTTCGATTTCAGTATTCTTGAATCTTTCTGAGGACGTCTTTTCGAGAAGGTTTAAAGCAGCGAGCATTGTCTCGAGTAAAATCCAGCAAAAATCTTTCGATAGCACTTTTTCTGTAGATTATGACATGCTAAATAGTAGCCGCAGATTTCTTTTCAAAGAAAATAGAACGGCTGGTGAAATGTGAAAAAATCTTGTCGTCCCAAATTCTACTCGCCATAGCCGCAGGATACGAAGCTATCTTGCTAAGCAGATGTGAGTTTCGAAATCAGCAGGTCGGATAACCTCTGTGGGCAAGTTTTCCGATATGTTCGGGTTATTCCATTTTTTCTCGTTTTACGCTCCAGAAGCTCGCCGATGGATTTTGGTCAAAATGTTGATGCTCCTGAATTGTAAGGAAACTTCGCTTATAGAGGTTTTCGAACACGCTCTTTACGAAAATTGTGGTCTTTGAGGATC